GCCAGGTGTATAATATGTTTATTTGTTGGTTCTCAGAATAAGACCCAAACACCCCAACGCTTAGCTATTCCCGTAAAAAGTGTCTATTCTCGTTACCAAACAAGCTAGAATCATGTGTCTTCCCAAAGAGAAGAGCATCGAACCTCCTGGTCTTCTCTTTCTGTTCCTCTTCCTCTCCCTCTCCCTTCACATATTGATTCTTTGGATGTAGATGCTTCGATTGAAGATAGGGAGAAGTAGATGTGGTTGAGGTCATTGACTTCGAATCCTTTTTTTGGATGTAGATGCTTTGATCGAAGATAGGGAGAAGTAGCTGTGGTTGAGGTCATCGGCTTGGATTCCTTCTAGGTAAGCGAGTATGGGGTGCTGAGCTTGTCAGTTGCGGAGTGTGTGAAGAAATTTTGGGTTTAATTTTCGTGTTCTTTTTCTGATTTTGATTTTTGATCTCAACTTGGATGGATTTAGCTTGCGAGTTTATTATTTTAAAGTTTTGAATCGGGGAATTTGGGTTTCGGTTAGAATCATAAGAATTTTTATTTTGAGGCTAGGGAGGCTTTAGAGATTGGAATTTGGATGGAAATGGTGGTGGTTGTGGCATTCTCGGTGATGGTGGAAGTGTGGCACCGCCGTCAGAAATTGAGAAAGACATTTGTAATGGTCAAACGAGATTTTCTTCCTTTCTCATGTCTAAAAAAAGACCTTACCATTCCTCAACCAAAACTCTTGAACCTTGTATTAGTGGGAATTTCAAAGGACCCAAATCATACCCAGAGCAATGGAGGTTGGATTTGGAGAAATAGAGCTTTGAGGGATTGAATTGGCCTTCAAGACTAGGAATTTCGAAGGAGCCAAACGATATCCCAAATAAGCTAGGGATGAGTTTTTAACGTCATACAAATCTTCATACAAATCTATTTGACTCATATTATATTTTTTGAACTGAATGGTGTAGTTGAGCGTGTCGGTTGAGAGGGTAAGCGCATCATTTTCCTAACAGTTAATATTTGACAAAGACTGTCATAAATATAATGAATGTAATCATAAGTACATAAGATTGTTTTGCCAACTTATTTGACTCATAAGACACACTCTAATATATTGAATGTTTTATGAATTCTATTAATATTTTTTCTTTTTAATGTGGCTTTATACAACTTTTAAAAAGTTACTACAAAAAAAAAAAAAGGCCTTTTTACGGCACCTTCTATCACCATGGTTTACACTAAAATTACACTAAAATAGTATTTGTAACACCCTTCGTTATGATGGTTTGCGTTAGAAAAAGGCATCACAATTAAGGGTTTTTTTTGG